TAATTGTATTATGAGCTTGACATCTAGTGGCCACCCCTGGCAGGGCAGAGCAGGCAAAGGTTAAATCAGCAAGGCTTGTCAAAGCACTCCTAACTACCCATCTTCAGGGAGAGGCGGTCGGCCGGAAGCTGCCCAGTGCTCTGCAGCCCACCTTTCTACAGACACAGACAAAAAAGCTTCTGACCTCATGCTGTAGGCCACCAAGCTTGCAGAGAATGCAGAAGGGGGTCAGATCTCCCCTAGCACACAGAACTAATCTGGGGGTGACTGAAAAAGGCAGGCCCACAGAGGAAGGCACTCAGACCCCACAATGGCCCCATCGGCTCCCTTTGTGGCCACTGTTTAGACATGAGAACTCCTTCCTTTAGTTAAGAAACAAATCAATCTTAATCTGTAACACTGAGGCATTCCATTATTAATATTTTACATTTTAACACAACTCGCCTTATTTACTTGGCAATCACAGAGTTAACTGCATGTTAAATCATAAATGTGTTGAAATTACAAGAGAAAAATCTAAGATCATGAAAGTTTATTTACGGTAATATTACAACATTTGAATTTCACAGAGTCTATGTTTGCCTTGATATTAAATGTGTAGTACCATAACACTTGTAATAACCAAGCTGCCTCACCAGCTTCATGAGACTAAGAAATGCTGGTCTTTCTTATTCTGTCAACTAGTCAAGAAATCTTGTAGGGAAAGAAAAGCCAATCAACCAGCAAAAAAGGGAAAAAATGATTTCCTGTTACCATATATTATTAAAAAAAATGCTTCTTTAAGTATGCTACTGCATTGAAAGAGTGGTGAAACCCCTATTAGCAGTTAAAAAGATTTTAGTTTACTTAAATAACAGCCTGTGCCAATACTCACAGTTAAGAATGCTAAATCCCAGCTGATGATGTGTCCATAGAATGGAAACCTGGGCTGCACTTCACTGCACTCCCCCCAGAAGAAAGTGTGCTATAAGCTACCTGGAGGTGAACGTACAGCTTCTCAGAGAGTACAGCTGAACACGAAATCTGACCCACTTTTGCCTGCTTTCGCCATCATCATGGATACAAAAGATAATCAGCTTGCTAAGTAATTCCTGCTGTTACTCCACACCTTTCTCTTTCCCTGAACACATGTAAAAATCCTGGGTTGGGCATATGCTATGAAAGTTTAAAATACATTTGACATAAAAAATTCCTTAACTCTCGTAACATAATCAGCTCTCCATAAGGCAGAATTAATTGGCACCCATTTTTGTTGATCACCAGAATATGCATTTTAAAATAGGTTAAGTTTTTAAATGCTACTTTAAAAAAGAAACATTTGCAGATTCTTTTCCTTTTCCCGTTACTTACTTTCTACCTTCTAAGATTCAGAGAAAACAATCTGCCTGTGATGTCAGAAAGTGGCTTCTGTATTGTCCCCTTTGGTATGCTGAATTGTAAATGTGCATAGTGGGGTGGGGGGAGGAGGGCTGGAGGCAAACCCTGCATATACAGATAAAAGAAAAAAGACCTCTTCACCGACTGCTGGTGGCCTTCTCTCCCAGAATTTAAACACAGTCTGTGAATTCCACTGGTAAATTCTTAGGTCATAGGCTCACCACATTTGAAAGGATTTCAAAGATAGCCATATACTGTAAACTGGCAGAAAATAAAAACACTTTGAAGCAATTAGTGCCAACAAACAAAATGCAGGATGGCAAACTGTTTTAAATTATAATATCCTTTTGTTCTTCCTTAAATACCTGCTTTCCTTCTAGGGACAGTAAAACCATCTTCCTTAAATTACATTTTCTGCAGCACAGGATAGCAATATTACACCTTTAAAGTTCTTAGTGAGAATTAAGGGCTGCACTGTCTCTGGAAGTTTTAATTAGTTTTTCTCTGCACAAAAATCTTCTGCTCGTTAAAAGGATGTCATTATTGGTGGCAGAGATTTAATTGAACATTTTATTTCTAAAATAGGAATGAAATACTTAGCAAATAAGTAATTTTAAATGACAGTTTCTGTTGGGAATGTAAGTTAATGATCTTAAAATGATCTTTGTAAGAATTTTACAAAAGGCTAACTTTAGAACTTTGTATAAATCATCCTTACTTTTCCTCACTCTGGATGGTCATTTCATTCCTTCAGTGGTAAGGTTTGCATAGCACCAAAGCTATTTTTGTAAAGCATTTTTTCATTCCTAAAAACCAAAGCCTGAAAATTAGATCATAAACACAAGGGCTCTTTTCTGTAAATTAACACGACTATGCCTCTTTGCCCCTCCCCCCAACTGCACTAAAGTTTTTTTTGCATATAGTACTTGCTCTGCATGATATTACCAAAAGCCTTCAGTTGCACTGCTCATAGCTGGGCTTATTGCTTTAATTAATATGTCACGCCCAAAGTGATACAAAGGAATTATTTACTTCATTTCTACAACACCGTAAACTATCTTAGCTCACTTACAACTTCATGCATGACAATTTCCACTGCATCTAACAAAATGAAAATTTCGAGATCTGGTTCACGTTGGACTAATTTAGTTTGCACAACCATTTATCTTTAAACCACCACCACCACTGCACTTGCTTACCGTGGAGTAACACACATGAGCATTCTTTCACTTCACAGGGACCAGAGTATCTTTTATGCTCCATGAACAATCTGCTTCAGAACAATTAAATCAGAAAGAACTCGTTTTAACAGTTTGCCGGAACCACCCTTCAAGCAGGCAGGGGACACACTGCCTCACTGGGCCCAGCCCCAGACAGGCTATTTCTGGCCTGTTGCAAAATCTGATGAGGAACTGTGGCAACCGGGTGCTTAGGGCTCAGAATTCACTCCTGGAATGGTGGCAAACCTGCATGTGGTGAATCTCTAAATAAATCCGAGCAGCACCAAGGCGAATTCAAAATAGAACTTGTCAATAATTTACTCCATCCGAGGTTTTCAACACACTACGGGCTATATACCCTCCAACACGTTTACACTACTAAGTTCACCGCGCTCACATTTCTGAAGTGAAATTGAAAATGAACAGCAGTGCCTCAGCTTGTTAACTGTTAAATACAAGAGGTTTTACTCTATTAATTAAAATATGCTTTAATAAAAGGAGACGTTGCACATTTTGATAACGACCCTACAAAGCTGAGAAGTATTTACATTGTTGCATTTTGGGGCGGCTGTGAAAGCCGATTTTAAGCTATTCAGGAGCCGCAATAATGAAGCTTTAAAATTCCTCGCTGGGATGCAATGTAGTTCTTTTGAAGGAAAGACTGTCTTTCTCATTCGGGAGAAATAAATCCATTCATTTGATCATGTAGTCATTGAGAGCAATACAAAACAAACCAAGTGTGAGAAATTCTATGTGAAGAAGTAAACAAAACAAAAAAAATCCATTTCCATGACAAAAAGATTCTTTGTCCTTAATCTACCCAACATATGCAGGCGTTTCTTTTCAGCGTATCGCCTGTTCTAATCTTGGCTGACTTGGCTGCGCAGATCCGGCTCCCTTACCTCCACAGCAACAAAAAGACCCGAGGAGTCCTCAGTTTTGTTTAATTCATTCACTACCGGGCTGTTTGGGGGTATTTCCTCACTCTCCGTTGCGACGTAGACGTATACCTGCTTTGTCAAACTTTACACTATGCGATAAACTCTTAAATCCCTTTTATTGTTTTTTTTTTTTCAGGTAGTCTAATTCTCATAGCACAAAGATTGGTTAGTATCTGCTCGAAACAACTCATTATCGGTTAATCATGCAAGTTGGCCAGCCTAGTTGTTTTAAGGAACAAATTATCTCACGTCCACGCCTGCTGCAGCCTAGGGGCGCCGCTGGCCACCCCTCTTTGGCCTTCTTTCCGGCGCCCTGGGGACCTCCGCGGGGTGCGCTCAAGTCGGCGCCGAGGGTCCAGCTTGCAACCTGAAGCGGATTCCGGGTGTCCTGAACTTTACAGTGCGAAAGTTCAGCTACAGTAAACCCTAACCTTCGCTAGTCTCTAACTTCCATGACGCCACCCTTCACTTTTGAATGTCTCCAGGAGGACGTTCCTACCAGCGAAATGACCGCGAAGCTGCCTCCAGCGCCCGATCTCGCGCATCCAAATGAATAACGAAAAGGCCGACGGAAAACTTGAAACCCGCCAGCAGCGTGCTGGGGTCCTACCGCGTGCGAGCACCAGTGCCCCAACGACAGCTGTGTTCACCTCCAGCTTAATTCCCAAGTCGGCCATTAGGGAAAGGCCGAGAGACATTTACTTCCTACTTGCTTCCGAAAGGATCCTCGGATTTGTCAGTGCGCTGGGACATCGCGGAGTTCGCGGCCCAAGGGTCCCCCGAGTCGGCCTGCTGGAGGGACTGGAGACAGGTAGCTCGGGCTGGGATAAAGGAAGTGGCGTGGGCCCCCGGACCGGCTCCGGGCGCGCAGCACCCGGGCACCAGGGCGCGCGGCTCCGAACAAAGCTGGCCAGGCGGAGGCCTCCCGGGCCCGCGTCCAGCGGTAGGTGAGCCCCGCACGCTTTCCCCGCTGCTGCGCCCGCCCGGGGGTCGGCTCTGAGCTGGGCCAGGGTCCGGGCGCGTTCTGGAGGCGCCGCGGCCACCGAGGCCAGCTCCAACCTTTGGGCGCACAGAGACACGGCGGCAGCTCGGAGGCGGTGGCCTGTACCCTTCTTGCCCCCGCCCCGCGGCGCCCGCCTCCGCCTCCGGCAGCGCTGGCTCCCAGCGGTCCCCGAGCCGGCCGGGCCGCAGCGCCCTCCGCGCGCAGCTCCCCAACTTCGAGGCACGGAGCCAAGTTTACTTGGCCCGCAACTCTCCCCGCGGCCGCGCGCGTTTCGGTGGAACATCCCGATCCACGCGGACGGCCTGGCTCGGCGACCGGACGCAGCGCCAACATTCACTCGCGGGAACCGGGGAACTTTCACCCACTCCGAGCTGCGCGCAACCTCTCCCGCCGCCCGCGTTTCCCAGCCTGGGTGGGCGCCTCAGACCCCCTGGCCACCCTGCGGTCCCCGGCCCTCACCGTGCTCGGGAGCCCCGTCCGGCGGCAGCTCCTCGTCCGACTTGAGGTGCTGGGGCTTGGCCTGCTTGCGCCGAGACATGCTGCTAGCGGCGCTCGGGACCCGCGCGGGGCAGCGGCATCAGCGGGGCGGCCGGCGGGGACGGCGCGGGGCGGGCGCTGGGCGGCCGGGCGGGCGCGGGGCGCGGGGGCGGGGCGGCGGCGGCGGCGGCTGCGCGGGCCGCGCATGGGGCTGAGCAATTAGGCTGGTGAATAATGCATGGCCATTAGCGGAGGGCCGCGCCGATTGGCCGGTCTCCAGCGGACTCCGGCGGCCTATGCAAATGAGGCCGCGCTCGCAATTAGCGGCCGCGCCGGCGAGGAGGGGCCGCGGCGCCTGCGGACCTGGGTGCGCGCTGCCCGGCGCGGCTCACATCGCGAGCTCGGCCGCCCGCGCTCCGGCACCGCGCTCCTCGCCCGCCCAGGTGCGGCTCCCGCGGGCCCGGGTGCGGCGCGGGCCGCGGGGCCGCCCTCCGCAAGGCGCAGGCAGCAAACTTTGGCGGCGTCCGCGCGGCGCCGTCTCCGCCCGCGCGCCGGGCTCGCCCCTTTATAGAGTGTCTGCGCCGTCGCCCGCGCCCGCGCCGCGCCCCCCGCCCGCCGCCGCCGCCGCCGCCGGGCGGCCCCTCCCGGAGCGAGCGGCCGCGGGCAGGGCTCCGGCCCGGCGCCTTTGTCTCGGCCGGGCCGCTCGGGCGCCGCGCCTCCTGCGCTCCGAGCGCTCGGGGCCGTTCGGCCGCCTCCGCTGCTGGGCGGCGGGTCGCAGGGCCGCTCGGCACGCTGGGCCCGCGCGGGCTCAGGTGCCCCTCTCTCCGGACCTTCTCTCCCGACTCGTGTCCCCTTCGCGGGTTCCCCGGCTGCCGGCTAGGCTCGGAGGCTCGCGGCCCGAGAGGAGCGGAGCAGAGCGGAGTGCGCACGCCGGGGTGGCGGGACTTCGGCAAGAGCAACTTTCCGGTTCGGAAGCGGCGCGGGCCTCGCGGCTCCTCCCCTCCCTCCCCTGCGTTCCCTCCCCTCCCCTGCCCCCCGTCTCTCCCCCCCACTCGGGCCCCACCGACTCCTGAGCGCCCGCCCCGCCCGCCGCCGCCACCAGGGCCTCCTCAGCCCCACGCCCGCCCGCTGGGGCCTCCCCGCCGCTGGCGGCTTCTTAAGTCCAGGGAAGGGAGGGGACAGCTGGGCTTCGGTGTCCCCTCCTCCCCCCGATCCCCTTCCAGCGGGCGCAGTGGCCCTGGCGCCCACAATCCGGGGCCTGCGGAGTGGGCGGCGAGCGCGACTGTAAGTTCCAAGTCCACGAAAGTCCTGCCAGCGGGCCGCGGTGTTCACGGGATTTCGGGGGTGACGTGGGAGCCAGGTGAGGGGGTCGTGCACGTCTGGACCAGCTGGGCACCCTCGGGCAGCTGGCGCGGCGCGCTCCCCGCACCCGCACCGCACCGGTCCCCCGCCCGCGGCCGTACGAACGCGCCCTCGCACCCGCGCGCACATTCGCGCGCTCGCCCACCCGCAGCCGAGCACACGCGCCCGCGCTCGTGCTTCATCCCCCAGCGGCCGCCAGGATGTGCCCCAGGCCTCGCCGCCGCCGTGCCTGTGCCCCTCACCCAGTATGTCTTTTTTTTCATTTCCTAAATTTCTTTCTTTTTTTTATTCCCCCTGCCCTTGCCAGTGGCCCTGTGTGGTATGAAGCTTAGGCACAGATGGCCTCCCGGCGCTTTCCCGGGTGCCATTAGCGGGGGTGGGGGGAGGAGGGAGCAGGCGCTGACCAGCCAGCCCCGCGCGCCCAGCGGGCTGCGAGCTCCCGCAGGGCTGGAGGGCGGGCTGCCAGTCGGGTGCAATCCCCCGCCCCTCCGCAAGACTCCGGCCCGGCGCCGCTCACCCTGCTCTCCGCAGGCTGCTTTTCGGTTCTAGACTCCGGTTCCCAGCCCGCGTTCTCCCGCCCGCCTCTAGTTGTGTAAGTTCCCTGAAGCAACAGCTTTGAGCGCGGGAGACTTGTGCATAGGAAGGAAGCGCACAGGTTGGAGTCGGCTCCAAACAGCCCCAAGAACCACTTACGTGAAAAAAAAATGTTTTGTTTTTCTTTATTGTTGGTTTTTTACTGCTTTTCTATAGAGGGTGAAGAAAATGCTGATTTTTTTTTTAAAAGAAACGCAAATAAAAGCTGTTCGAAGTCTAGCTATACCGTTTAACACACACATTGGTAGCGCTCTTATAAGCGCTTTTACAAGCTGGGGAGAAATGTCTTCAGAGCAATCACGCTGTGAAGTTTTGCGAAGGCTACAAGCGTTTTGGGGACGCGCTTGGCGGTGAAAAGTTTGCAGCCAGGGCTTTGGGGCGAGCTAGGCAGAAAAAGTGGCAGGGGTGGAGAGACGGAAAAAAAAAAAAAAAGAAAGGAAAATGTGTGAATTGCGGGTGGTGGTTGTGTAGAACGGAGACTTTTGTAGAATTTTCAGGACCGACAACAGTTTGGAGAAGTCGCAGACTCTCGGCGGGAAGGCAGATGTGTCATTACTTTTTACAAGAGAAAACGCAGAGGACCATCAGTGGGTTCATCCCTTGGGTAAAGGTGCACTGACTTTTATGGCCTGGTTATTTCCCTCTTTTTCTCCTTTCGTTTTTTCTTTCTTAATATTTTTAAACTGGCACTCTTTGGGGAGAAGAAATAAACGCTGGTTCCCACGTGCCTGAAGCCTTTCGGGCAAGAGGATTCTGCTGGACTCCACAGCCTCTTGATCACTCCTCCTGGGGTCACTTCATGCACTGCTCCCCATCTTCTTGTTTCTGGAGGCCCTCTCATACTCTCCCCTCCTCTCCATCCCTATCTGCAACAAACGGGGACGATTTTCCCCAGTTCTTTCTGGGGCTTCCAAATGCAACTCTTTAATTTCGTGGACTTGCTTTGCGTTTTCTGTGAGGTGTGGTTGTGGGGAGGATCTTTGAAGGTCCTCCAATGAAGGCAAACCTGAGCCCTGGCCCTGCAAGTGTACGAAGCAAGTCTCCAGATTGCAGAGGTGTGGAGCGATTCCTTAGTGGGAAGGTAGAGAAGGCAGGGCTTTGGGCTGCAATGGACATCACGGATCTCACGAAGCTAGCCGGCATGGATGGAGGTTGTGGAGCTCTCCACATTGGACCAGCCCGGGGTGGGCTCCCATCGCAGAGTCAGGGCAGCACTGGGTTGAGCTGTCTGGGTGAAGTTGCAGGCTCCCCATCTCCCTTGGGGCAGGCTGCGCTGGAATTTCGTTGAGAAGATGGAGCAAAGACTTGGAGGAAAGGGCCAGGAAGCTGCGTGTGCAATAGTAACCTGCACAAATCCTCTGCACTGCTGAAACTTGCACTCCAGTGAATCCTGAGGTGCACCCATTTAGAGATTGACTAGGGTCAACATGAATTTTTTTTTAAAGAAAGTAAAAGTGGAAAACAAAAGCCTGTTACTTCCTGGCTTACCTGTTTCTTTCCTTTTTTCACCTCAGATCTGAAACCTGTAAGTGTTCTAATTTAATGTGACAAGTCTTAATGAAGGCTTTACATCTTAAGCTTTAGTTGCAACAATGTATTGCAAAACAACAATGTGTCAATGGAATATTTTCACAGATGACAGGAGGAATGTAGGCTCCGGATGTGCCCAGATTACTATAGAGAAATACACAGAGGAGGTACAGACACAACTCAGATAGGCTTGTGGTACAAGCATACTCGTCATCACATGACCACTGTCTATTAAAATATTGCAATACCTAAACACAATTGCAAAAACAAAAGTTGCTTTTCTTCCCTATAATTAAATCTAATTTGTTAATTGCCTTTCCTCTTGCAATGTTGTTTTCATTTTAAGAGGTGACATGTTATTATTTTGTCTGCTTAATAATATTATTTACAAATTAATACTGTATATTTTACATTAAGGGAGCATATAATTAGGTGTTGGAATTAATTTGTATCATTTCTTCAGATTAACAGAAAGCCTAGCTGCAAGATTGATTTGACAAGGGTGGTTAAAGAGTTCTAATTTAAAACTCACAATCACACTGTATTGAAGCTACCTAGCTCTTGATTCACTATAGACAGCTTTACATAGGTGAATTTGACATTTTGTTTACAATGTGTATATTTCTCCAGCCACTTAACACAAAGTGAGCATTCAAATATTTGGGCTTTCTTTTTCTGTCTCCTTTCATTCTTTTTTTTTTTTCCTCCAAAGTTCCCTTTTTCTGCTTACTGGCCACTCCTCCCTCTCTCTGGTTCCTTCCCACCCCAAACTTTTATTTTAGGTCCTTAGGGTTAAATTCAGCATGATTTTGTGTCTTTAATGCTGTGACAAGTGACCACTAATTGGTTCTCACTTGAGCAAAGATATTACCATACTAATATTATTATTGGTAAGAAGAGGTAATTGATAACACCACCTGCCACTTGGGGCAATCACGATGATAAATGTTTCCATCAACAGGAAATCTGTGCTTGTGTACCAGAGCCCAACGCAAACAGCATGTCAAGTGCCAATTATAAAGATGTTGCTTTCCTATTACATGGGGGTGGGGTGGGGTGGGTGGGGGAGATGACAAAAAACATGCAGCCAAAAATTATATTTGTAGTTTTTTGAAATGTTTTATTCAAGCTTCTCTTCTCCCACTCCAAGTTAACTTTCCCCAGAAAATAAAGTGTTCTACTGAAATACGTTGGTGTCTAGCTAACTGCCTGCCCGCACTGGATACAGTTCCTGGTCTGACTTCTTTTGCATTCAGAGCTATTCAGATAGATATGCTCAAATATTTTTAATAAATGGGACTATGTGTAGTGTGTAATTCTATCCTTTCTGTATATTCATTACAGAACACTGTGCTGCTTCACTGTAGGCATCACAGATGAATATCCCATCGCTTTTTTTTAATGGAATACACAGATAAACATTAGCGCACAACCACGTCTTTCCCGATGCTGAAGTACTTGCTTCCTGACGGTTGAACTTTGTATCTAGATGGGCTGCATGTAGCCTTGGAGGGGTGCGTCAGCATGGGCTATTATATAAATAATTCTGGAGACTTACAGCGTCGCCTTACCTGG